TCACAAAAATTGAAGGGCACAATCGAGATTGAAACATGCCATTGAAAATTTCAATGAATCTCAAAAGATTCTAGGAGTTTCAAAACCAATTAAAACCTAATAATACATTTCGTTTTCATGGTGGAAATTGGTGAATTGTCATTCACCTACCTTCAAATATTTTATAGCTTGGATTATGGCATCCCTCTTCTAAGTTATAAAATATTATGTTGGGTCCTAGCCTTAATATTACATTTGGGTGTCTTATTAAGGACTATCTATATATCTAATCTAAACTTGTCTTTCTTTCTTTTCAGATGTCTTCCAACCATGCTGCTTCTGGCTCAAACCCTACCGGCTCCTTCTCTCTCATGAACCTTTGTGGGAGAGTCATTTTTTATGGGACTAATTTCAATGACTGGATTAGGAACATAAGGATGGTCACTCGCTATGAGGGCAAGGAATATGTCCTAGACAAGGAGCTAAAGGAACTTGATGAGTCTTCTGCTACTCCAGAGGAGATCGCTGACTTCAGGACTCATGAGAGAGATGCCACTAAAGTGGCATGTGTCATGTTGGCCACAATGACAGCCGAGCTCCAAAAGTCCTATGAGGATTTTATCCTTTTGAGATGCACCAGGATTTCATGGAAAGATACCATCAGAGTGCTCGTCAAGATCGATATGAAATAATCTCCTCCATGATAACAACTCGAATGAAAGATGGTGAACCAATCACGAGCCACATGAAAAAAATGCAAAGGTTTGTGGACCGTCTGCTGAAGTTGAATGTGAACTTCCCTGAGGAGTTGGCAAATAAACAACGAGGAGGTTACACTCAACAAACTTCAATGACTTTTGAAGACCGCTGAAAGTGGTCTTAAAGGTAAATCGGTTGTTACCACTCCTACTCCTACCACCGCCCATGTTCTGGCCATCGGGAAAGGTAAAGTGAAGAAGAGGAAGACCCCTTCGAAGGGTACCAAGGGAAAGTATCTTGATGGTTCCTCTTCAAGTAGAACCAAAGGTGGTTCTATCACACTGGAAGCGAAACTTCCCAAAGTACTTGCAAGATGTTAAGGATGGGAAAGTGAAACCCAACCATGCAGGTATTTACACTATATTGTCTAATAACTCACCATATTCTAATTCTTGGGTCCTTGATACAGGTTGTGGTATTCACATATGTTTTGATTTGCGGGGACTAAGAAGAAGTGAGAATGTGGAGCACGGGAAGATAAACTTGATCATGGGGAATAAGAAAGCTTCACATGTCACCAAGATTGGAGTTTATTCGTTGTTGCTAAGTAGTGGGTTAAGATTAGATTTGAATAAATGTTTTTACTCGTCTGAAATGGCGATAAATATTATTTCCTTTCACGGTTTGTACAAACAAGGATTTACTTTTTCATTTGATAATGAATGTGGTGGTATTAATGCTTTTTATGATAATGTTCTTTGTTTTAAAGCATTACCTTGTGATGATGTATATGAAACTGTGTTGGTTGTAGATAACCTAGGAAATAATGTGTTGTGTATTGATTCTTCCACTAGCTTGGATAAATCATCATTATGGCATTGTCGTCTTGGACATGTTAGCAAGAAATGCATAGGCCAACTCCAAAAGGATGGAGTCTTGGAGTCATTTGACCTAAAGTCGGATGATAGTTGTGAATCTTGTTTACTTGGAAAATTGACAAAGTCACCCTTCACTGGTACCTGTGCTAGGGATGAAGGTTTGTTGGATCTCATACACACAGATGTGTGTGGGACCTTCAGAACCGCCACAAGGGATGCTAACCGCTTCTATGTGACTTTTACTGATGATTATAGTAGATATGGCTATGTCTACTTAATCAAGCATAAGTCAGAAACCTTTGAAAAGTTCAAAGAGTTTAAACAGGAAGTGGAGAATCAGTTGGGCAGGAACATTAAGATGTTTCGATCGATCGAGGTGGTGAGTATCTTAGTACAGAGTTCCTTGACTATCTTAAGGAATGTGGGATTGTCTCATAATTGACACCTCCCAGGACACCACAGCTTAATGGTGTGGCTGAGAGGCGTAATCGAACCTTGTTGGACATGGTTCGTTCCATGATGAGTCTAGCTTCGCTACCAATCTCAATTTGGGGATATGCCTTAGAGCCTGCCGCCCATATCCTTAATCTAGTCCCTACCAAAAAAGGTTCCAAAACACTCAGAGATGGACTGGGAAAGATCCCAATTTGGACCACATCAATATTTGGGGTTGCGAGGCTTTCGTGAGGCGCGAGACTCACGATAAGCTCGAACCTCGAAGTGAGCGGTGTATTTTCATCGGCTACCCACATAAATCCTTTGGTTACCTCTTCTATAGACCCAGTGATAATGTGGTCTTTGTGGCAAGGAGAGGAGTCTTTCGCGAGAGAGAGTTCATAAGCCAAGGAAACAGTGGGAGGCAAATTGACCTTGAATAAATTCAAGAGTTAAGTGGTGAAGGAACCTCAAAGCCTAGCAATCAAACTGAAGAGGAAACTCATGTTGATCCAACTGACGAGTCTGTACCTCTAAAGCGTTCCATTAGAGTTATAAATGCACCTGAGCATTACTATGGTTTCCATATTGCCGCGGAAGGTGATACACTTATCAGTGATAGTACACTGGTAAGTTTGGATGAACCTAACAGCTACACGGAAGCCATGGCATGCCCCGATTTTGCTAAATGGAAAGAGGCTACGGACAGCGAGATACAGTCCATGTATGACAATCAAGTTTGGAACTTGGTTGACAATGTACCAGGTCGTAACACAGTCGGGTGCAAATGGATATTCAAGAAGAAGACCGACATGGATGGGAATGTACACACTTATAAGGCGCGACTGGTTGCAAAGGGCTTTTCTCAAACTCCGGGAGTTGACTATGATAAGACCTTTTCACCAGTAGCGAAGATTAAGTCTATTAGGGTTATGCTAGCCATTGCTGCATTTCATATTTATGAATTATGGCAAATGGATGTCAAAACCGCTTTCCTTAATGGAAAGTTGGCTGAGGATGTTTACATGAGTCAGCCAGAGGGTTTTGTTAGTATAGAGTACCCTAATATAGTGTGTAAGCTTGAGAAATCCATCTATTGATTGAAACAAGCACCTCGCAGATGGAATCTTTGTTTCGATGAGAAAGTCAAAGAGTTTGGTTTTTCGAGGAGCAAAGATGAGTCCTGTGTATATGTCAATGCTAGTGGGAGTATAGTTAGCTTTTTGGTGTTGTATGTGGATGACATACTACTCATAGGAAATGACATCCCAACTCTGCAGGAGGTGAAGTCCCGGCTTGGGAAGTGTTTCGCTATGAAGTACCTTGGAGAAGCTACCTATATCCTAGGGATAAGGATTTTGAGAGACAGGAGTAAGAGACTAATTGGACTTAGTCAAAGTACCTACTTGGATAAGGTGCTAAATAGGTTCAGCATGCAGGATTCCAAGAAAGGAGAGTTACCGATCCAGAGTAATGCCAGACTGAGTAAGACTCAGAGCCCGAGTACAGAGGCTGAGATAGCTAAGATGAGTCGAGTACCGTATGCTTCCGTTGTAGGCTCAATCATGTATGCTATGACTTGTACTCGTCCTGATGTGGCCTTTGCTTTGAGCATGGTCAGCATATATCAGGGGAATCCTGGAAAGCCTCACTGGACTGCGGTAAAGAACATTCTCAAGTACCTGCGGAGGACTAAGGACTGGGTCCATACCCTCGGTGGGTGTGATGACTTGAGAGTAGTGGGGTATAGTGATGCTAGCTTCCAGACTGATAGGGATAATTTCTGATCTCAATCAGGTTGGTTCTTTACCTTAAATGGAGGAGAAACTACTTGGAAAAGTTCCAAGCAGGAGACAGTGGCTGATTCAACTTGCGAATCAGAGTACATAGCAGCAAGCGAGGCAGCGAAGGAGGCGATATGGATGAAGAACTTCATTGGAGACCTTGGAGTTGTACCAGCTATAAAGGAGCCTATGGAGATTTTCTGTGATCGTGAAAGTGCAGTTGCCTTAGCCAAGGAACCAAGGGATCACGGGAGATCCAGCTGACACATCGACAGAAAATACCATTTCATTAGACTTCGAATAGAAGAAGGACTCCTCGTCGCAAAGAGGGTATCATCGGATAAGAACCCAACAGATCCCCTCATGAAGGGACTAAGTAGGGTTAAGCATCTTCAGCATGCGAGGCGCATAGGGCTAAAGGATGATATTAGTTTTAGAAATTAGATACCTTTTGAAATTTGTAAAGTGTAATTGACATTTGATGATTAAATAAAAGTTGTTATTTATTTATAAGTAAAGTGTTACTATCTTCTGTCAATCGTTTACTATCATTTCAATTTTGCATGTTTTGACTTCCAGAATAATTACTTTATTCAAACTCTCCATAGTCAGTCATATGTTGGAAGTAGATATGAATCAAGACTGTCATGAATTGGGTTTGTAGATGTCTAAGGTGCTAGACATAGCAAATGTTTGCTACAACATTCATGAGTGCTCATAAGCTCTGAGTATTGGATTCAACCCACGCTCACTTGTATTACTTCATGGAATTTATCACGAGTGATCGTGAGAGGGTAATATCATATAAGTCTTCAAACATAGATATGTGAGTTGTTGACTATGAGTTGGTTATACATTGATTGTACGAAAACGCATTGGTAACTCGATGTTATAAAACGTGCTTTTGTGTATGATTCAACAAGTAGTTAGTACAAGCATATGAGTCGAAGTTTATCTGTTCCTTCTAGCCCTTGGAGGATTAGAAGCGATATCTGGGCCCCTCGATGATTTTGTTTTGACCTATGTATCGGGCCCGGTCAGAATCAAATTGATGTGTTCAGTTTAGTTCTATGTCAAAAAAATCAGAAATCGGGAAACAAACTGCTGGACAATAAGTACGACATTGTTCCATGTATTTGTCTGGCTGATATCTTGAGAGCAGAGGATTATATGATCACTTATCTTAAATGGCAGGTCATCTTAGCTCTGCGAGACTTTGAAAGAGCTACGATTGTTGATCGGTTCCTGAAGTCATACTTGCAGTTATAGTTATTAGACTTATCCAAGTGGGAGACTGTTGGATAAGGTGTCTAAGTCCATAACTATTTCTGGTATGTACTTAACCCGATTGACATGGTCCATTTGGTTTGCATGGCATCATGATAATTGGATAGACAAAATGAGAAAGACACTTATGATTTGTTAATATATTATAAGTTATAATATATTAATATGAAATCATATTATTTAATTAGTATTGATCAAGAATTAATTTGGAATTAATTTTGTGATCAAAAAGAGACTAATTAAATATATGGGGATTGATTGTGTAAATCATCCATTCTTATATAGTGGGCTAATGATCCATGGTTTATTGGCTTGGGCTAAAATCCATAGGGTGCTCCATGCACTACTAGAAAAACAGCCTTTTACGACGCTCAATGCGTGTCGTAAAATGCTCAGACGACGCGCAAATGCGTGTCAAGGAAGACCCTGTCATAACGAGAGACGACACGCTTTTGCGCATCGTCTGTTTACGAAGCGCATTTATGACATGCATTTACGACGCGCAGTTACGACATGCATTTACGACGCGCAGTTACGACACGCAATGTGTATCAATGAAGGCCCTGTCATAAAGGAAGACGACAGACATTTGTGTGTCGTAATCTTACAACGCACGTTTAGGACACGCATTGCGTATCATTAAAGCCCCTGTCATAAATGAAGATGACACGCATTTGCGTGTCATAAACTTCAACAACCATTTACGATATGCATATACGACGTGCCTTTAATATACTCATTTACGCATAATACAAAAGTATATAAACAAATATATATCAAAACAATCAAATTTCATCCAATAACATCATGTCAAAAAATTGTAATACATCGGTATTAAGGGATCTAATTGTACATTGTTATTAAGAGGTTTTCCCTAACTATATAACCTAATACTACATTTCTATTAAGGGCACCTTCTTCTATACTCATTTCATCTGCTGGTGGAGGACCAGTGCTTTCCTTAGATATCTACAAAGACAAAAGTTGAACAACAATTAATACATAATAGATGGATGAAATATATAGTATGTAAATGTGAATATTCTGACCTGGATTCTTTCTGGAATATCTATCTCCCGAATGTACTCACCTTTTTCAGTTTTGTATTTATTGGAAAGAATGGTGGGTTCAAATTCATCTTCAAGCCTCCTTTCCTTCCCTTCACCACTATCATCATATCTACTGATTCATTCTAGTCCCAACTTGCGTTGCCTCAATAGCTCATCCACATCACCAAATATATCATGAGCTTCCTGTATTGCTCAAGGAACTCACAAGCACTGACAATAACAGGTTTAGAAAATATAACCTAGAAAATATAACCTGTAAAAAAATATAGCAAGATATGATTGAAACATTGGTACAACTCTCTAAACACTTTTAAGTGTCCATATAGTTATGTTTATATCCAGAACCTTCTGTGTTGTTTACAAAACAAAAAGGAGGGTAATTGTTTTTACTTTTACCTTATCAAAACCAATTGCCACAAGCTTTTGGATCTCTTCATCCGATACAACACTTACTACTGCTGTGGCATCTGTATTTATCCCTCCCTGCCTAAAATACAAACTAACTTTTAAAATACCAACCAAATGTGCCTTACTTTTTTCATTTACCCATAATACCAACTTCCTTCCCATTTCTTTTCTCATAATAGCAACGTACTTACAGTTCTTTACACATTAAATAAATAGCAATATCAATTTTTTACATCACACATTGTAATAACTAAGTTTTCCCACATATTCCCAGAAGACAAGTTTGCCCACATATTCCCAGACTGCTTACCTGAGGAGCCACCTCTCTCCTTGGCATCCATGAAGACAAGTTTGCCCACATATTCCCAGAAAGCGTATCACTAGAAATTTTATAAATATATAAATATCAAAAATCAGATAGAAAACTAAGAATATAATAAATAAGGGGAAAAAAGATAGGGGACAAACTACCTGGATGATATGTTACGAGTAGTATCCAGAAGGATCGCCACCTGTGCACAATATATATTTTCATATCTACCATCTTCTTCTTTGAAACATGATGTTTTTATGGCAATTCTGGAGTATATTATACGTTACTTTGACTTCTAAAATTCAAAGTATACCTTGAAAATGGAGTGAGTAAAAAGAAGTAGAAAGAACATACTTTTCAGACCTTGCTGCTTCTGCAATCATGGCATCAATGACAACTGCCATTGCAGAGCCCAGATTTTGCAATAACAAGATCATGAGTTGATGTTGAGAATTTCTTGTTGATTCCTGTGAGCCAAGAATCGTCCATGAAAAGAGGGAGAGAAGTGTTGCAATGACTAAATAACGAACCCTTTTCCTTCCATTTACTAGGATACAATCTGATATAATTTTGCACCCAACATGCGCAACCATAAATAACCAAGATTTTCAAAAAGTACACTAACCAAATGAAAGCTTAACAATTAGAACAATACCCGTATACTGGTTTTATGCTCCATGGAATAAATGATATGGAGGTTATGAAATTGAGAACCTGAGGGTGATAGCTTTAATTTGTCCTTCAGCTGGTAGGAAGCTATTGTCCATACAAATGATGTAAAACCCTAATCGAATAACAAATCATCCAGGTAGTTTGTCCCCTATCTTTTTTTCCAGAAGGATCACCATCTGTGCACATTATATATTTTGGTCTACGAACACAAGTTGACTGCAAAAAAATATATAATTCAAATATGGGATTTTACAAGTTTTCATTTTATTATGAATCAGTGAAGGTAAATACATACAAGCCAATGTGAGGATTCTATGCCCGAATAGAAAGAGCTTCCCGGTATTAGAAAGTTGAATAAACCATAAGTGTCTGAATTTAAGAAATGTGCTTTTCGAGCTATGACGTTTTTTTTTCTACAAGTCACTTGCAAGTTATTATTATCTGCAATACATGATATAAATGGCTCTAATTTATTACCTTGAATACTTCATCAAATCCACCTCTCCCTATACTATTCTCTTCACTGAAGTTATTCGTTGCCAACTGCAGATGTTTATAATTGTAGTTGACTGCCCCCTTGACCACTGGTGCATCTAAAATAGCACATAGTTCACGTGAAAACATAAGAAACTCAACATAATATTTCATATAAAAACTATATTTCAGGAAGTAGTATGTAATGCAAGCGTTGTGAGCTACATTTATTTTAAATTCTTTCCATGGGATTAGTCAAATGCTAATACATCAGATACATACATATGATATATATACATGAATTACCTTCTTTAGTCCTCTTAGACTTCTTCCATATAAGATAATATAATCCCAAAGCAATAACAAGAAAGAAGAGGCCTACACCCCCAACTGCCCCAGCAATTATCGGTACCATATTTGCTTTTTTCTGTAATATAGAATAATACAAGTGTTATTGTGATGGCAATAACAAAATGAAAAGAAATAAAAGAAGATACCTCACCTTTTAGTAGATTGGTGATATCAATTGTCTGATTATCACTGAAAAAATAGAGTGATTGAATATCTTGCGAAACACCCCTGATCATAAACCTTCCTTCTGTATTAGGAAGACAGTTATATAGATTACTATGGTAAGAGCATTATCATTATCTACAAAGGCCAAAGGATAAACACAAAATTAGCACTCCTTTATATTCTTGTAGTAATTCACCACTAGTTCTGCAAACCAAACAAAAAGAAGAACAATTTTTACAATAGACTCATCCATCCTTTTGATTAAAAGCGATGTGAAGTAGAAATTCACCTGTCCAAAAGGCGCAGAGTAGAATCCAGACAACTGGCTAATACATAGTTACCATCATTTGATAGATAGATACAGTTTACAGGTTGCCCCAAATCATCAAATAATTCTCTGGAAACAGAAGAAACTTTAAAGTTCAAACATGCTACAAAGTTTTTCATTTCATAATCATAATGATTGTCACATGGAATACCTACCTACCAATCCGGATGACAAATGTGCGTATAGTTCCATCAACACTTCCAGCAATGATCTCAGTTTTTGTTAAACAGACAGACATAACGCTGTCTAGAAAGGTGTCAATGATCTGTGAATCAATTAAAACTGTCATCAACTTTTGATAATATAAATATATATAAACAAAACTTAGTACGCACGTAGATGTAGAAAAGGGAAAGGGAAAGAAAGATAAACCTAAATTGGCTTGGTGCTATGAGATCTACAATCCCTGACACACAAGGAACGATCATACCCTGCTGATACAACAACAGATGAATATTCATTGAACTTTACAGCATTCACCTGCACAAAAATGGTGTTATGATTGTGAAATTATAAATATGTGTTATGTGATTGATAAATTGGTTTGTTGGGGAAATTACATACCTCACTATCGTGACCTCGAAACTTTCTGATCACACGCCCAGTCGATTGGAAGACGGAGGTTCAATTCAAATCATACTAACTGCTCATCGGAATGATGCGGTCGACCCTTTCTGTCTCCAGCGTCCTCCCTTCTCTCGAACGCCTTTTGTATCCGACATAGATTCCTTCACAACTTCCACTAACCGATGATGCTGATTATCCAGACTGGCCTTGGAAAACGACATCAACGGAGGTGAAGGGAACGTACAAAGAAACCCCTGTGAGAGAGAAAGCAAGAGTCGATTTGAAGCAACCGACAAATGAAATTGAAAGGTAGAGGCGCTACACTCTTTTTTTTGTTCGTGTCACCACACATCAACATAGGAAAATCGAGAACCCCTGCGGGTTTGATCTGTTCAAAAGACGAGATCAGAGATTTGGTGATATTGCGATTTTGTTGTGGGAGAAAAGAGGATTGGTGATGATATTAGGGTTTTTTTTTTGGGTATTAGAGTGATATATATATATATATATATATATATTATATCTATATATATCTATATATATATATATATCTATATATATATATATATTTATTATATATATATATATATATATATATATATATATATATGGTCTTCATTAAAAACATGTCCCTTCAATATATAGGAGTCTTGGAGTCTTGAAACATCTGAGAGAGGGAAACCGAAGGATTACCGGATCATCTTGAGAATTATTGAATCAACTTGCATTTGTCAGAGTGTAGATGTGGCAGACCAAAACTTTAAAGCTTTTGACAAATTGGCATCATATTTTGTCATTTTTTGATAATGGAATCTTCTTTGGCGATAATGGAGCATCTTCTTTCATCTTTATAAAAGTTGTTTGTTTTCATGCAATAATTTAGCATCATCTCACTGCAGAAGACATGATAATATTTTTGATAATTGATGTACTCACACAGTGTATAATTGATAATAGTTGAACACACACAGTGTATAATTGATAATAGTTGAACAATTTTTGTCTTGAATATACTTGTCTTGTAATTGATTATGTATACGAAAATCATTAATTTCATTGATAAGGTAATTTGCTTGTTTTGTTTTATAATTAAGAATATTAATAGTTGAATAAGACGGAGGTTCACAAATTTAAACATAATTTCTTTTCCAAAAACTTTAGTAATAATTCCATCATCTTGACCCATTAAAAGGATATAATTTAGTATAAAAGGTGTTCCTAAAATTAACGGAGAAGTAAGATTTTTACTAAAATTAAATGAGTTTTATAACAATAATCTTGATTGTTGCAAATATGATATATATAATATATATATATATATACTATATATATATATATATATATATATATATATAGAGAGAGATAGATAGATAGAAAAGAATGATGGAAATAAGGTAGAGGATAACAATGGCGGCCTTTCAAACTTTTGGGATTTTCGTTTCCCCCCCGCTGCAAAAGAAGAGAACGCGCCTTTCATTAAAAAAAATATAAAGCGACATTTCTAGACGACACCCATTTTTAAATAAGTGCCCTCAGTGCTTTTAATTTTTTTTGTTGGACATTAATTTTAGGGAACGCACAAAAGCGTGTCCTCTATCCTTCAAATTTTTAAAGAGATGACATTATTTTTAGGGCATACGCTTTTGCGTATCGTAAATCACCGGGTGTCATTGTTTGCGCGTCATTAAAGGGTTGTTTTCTAGTAGCGATGGATGCTCCATGGAGGTTAAAACCCATGGATCATGGAGGAAATGAAAATCCATGTCAATCAGGGTTTACATGGTGTAACCCTACTTGTGACACACTATATAAAGACCCCATAGGCTAGCAAAATCGGTACATAGAAAAGAACAAGGAGGGCTAGCCGATTTTGATTGATAGTGTGCTTCTCTCAAGTTATTCCAAGAGTTGTGGTGTTGTGTGAAACATTTGAGGCATCACATTTGGGGTGTTAGGCTCACAATATTCTTAAGGAATCCAAGCAACAAGAAAGGTATGTTATTCTACTAGCTTTTACTTTACAAGTACCCGATGTCATGCTAGTTAGGAATAGAACCTTGGAAAATCAAATTTGCATGTATCTTAGTAAAACATAGATCCAAGGTTTCTAGGGTTGCATGTACACCATAGGAGTGTTAGAATGCTCAAAACCTTTCATTTATAACAATGTCACGTTGTAATTTGCTAGAAATTCAATAAACTAGTATGTATTTTACTTTCTGGTATTCAAATGGGTTGGTGGGTTCAATTCTTAGAACACCCTGATTCTCAAGTATTTGCAAATGTATGATACTGATTGGAAATTCAATCGTTTCGATATTTTCATTATGTACTAGTTTGGATTGTTTGATAAAGTTATGTCTATTCAAGGGTTACACTAAAACGGGGGAGGATTGTTGGTGATTTTAGTGTCACCGTGTCATTTTATGTAACTGGAATTAGCATGTGAGCTAAGGGGCTTCTTAATTTGTTTTCTAATATGTGTACAGGTTGGTGCGGAGTGCATGCATGTATAAGATCAAATTAGTAGCCGGTTCGACGACTAGTCGGGGGTCCAGGGGCAGCGCCCCTGGGTCCGGGGTCTCCAAAGGGGCAGCGCCCCTAGCAGGGTCCAAAGAGCAGAGCCCCTGGCTGGGGTCCCTCTGACTTGCTTCCAAAGGAATCCATAGCGGCCCAAAGGAATCCATAGTGGGATATTCCGATTCTTGAAGGTGATTATGGTAAAAGTAAATAAACTCGTTAGTTTTGGTAACCCTAAATCCTCACAAAAATCTGGATTACCCTGACTTGCTTCCAAAGGAATCCATAGCGGCCCAACCCTAATGAAACCCTAATATCGTTTATTATATAAAAGACTCTTCTTTTCAGAAGAGAGATACGATCTTAAGCTCTCGTTTTTCATCTTACTTTCACAGAATCCTCTAGCATATTGGCTTACGACTTCTGTTCCTAGAATCGTAAGTGTCCACTTGGATTATCCTAGGCTGAATTTATTGTAACCCAGACATATGGTAGAAATATCAGTTCGGAAAGTGATATCACGATCCAAGTTGGTATCCAGATCTCCACCACAAACCCTAAATTTCCCTACATAATGTCCTGATATAACATAAGTTCAACCAAATTGTAATTTTTGTAGTCTAACTAAAAGGAAAATTATGAGGCTATTTCGTATTCATGCAGATGGATCTTTCTCAATTACTAGATAGGTGTGATGTACGATATATGAACTATGCAAAATTATTTGGAATGTATTATCCCTACCTTTGAAAGTAAATTTAAAAAGTGTTAATTACCACAAGAAGCGCCTTAATCTGGGTGATGGTAATCGATGTTGCATCTTTTTGGTCCTTGAGCGCTAATAAGATCTGTAAAAGATCTTTCTTTCCTTCATACCCATCTGCATCCTTCGGCTTTTTGGAGTTAGATATGATCCGATCGTCGATAATGCTTGTGAAGATTTGATCCAACTGATAAAGTTCCCTCTTCGTCTTCCTTAATATACCTTGTAGATCAAGTCATGCATGACTAGGGAAAATATTAGACAGATTCGGTTGTCCGACAATCTAAACGATATTTGAAGAAGTCATCTACAAGTCTGCTCCAAAATGGATACATTTTGCGTTTGGATCTGAAGTGTTTTCCCAAACCATGCTTGCGAGGACGTTAGCCTCTGTTGAGAAAAGCAATCTGGCTAATGTCAATAGTGGTCCCAACTTTACTATAAATATTTTTTATAGGTTTCCTAACTTCATCCCTTCGAAAAAAACCTGCATGCTTCAAGATTCTTGTTGTTTAGAACTTTATGGGCAAATATCTTACGAAGGTTACGCCAATATGAGTTGTTATCAGACCATACTACATATATGCCTCCATAGGAGATTGTTAAGGCAGCTATTGATGGATTGCGGTTAGCAAATATGTCATTTTGCTCACGTACCACTGCCTTTACTAGGTCTAGTGTATTTATGACGACATGCAGTTCGCTTCCCAAGTGAAACTTGAAAATGGGTCCGTAAATGTGAGCCATGTTTCGAAATTGTTTGTGTAACACAACAAGAAATATAACTATTAGGGGCGACGCTATTAGAGACGACAGGTAGTATTAGGGACGACAGGTGACAAGACGCCTTTGTGTCGCCGGTAAAGGGTCGCCTCTAATAGTCCACGTCGGCGATCCGTGTGACTTCGCCCAGAGTGAATTGTTTCCGTTCGTTTCTTATTTGATCTAACGGTCAGGGTTTCTTCGTACCAAGGCAATAGTGGCAACGACAATAGAGACGACGCCATCGTCGCTACTAGTCACCAAAAAAGACGCAGGATATCTTCCTGTGACATCCCTATTTTCACGGCCAGAAAAGACCGATTTTGTTTATGCTTTATAAAAATCAGAGTACCTCTTTTAATAAAAATATTGCGGAATTTGTTCCCAGAAAAACATGATAAATACGTTATCAAATCATTTCCGAAGAAAAGTATTTTCATCCATTTTAAAACATTTGGGATGTCATCGT